GGGGGTCCCTTGCTTACGGTCTTAGTGACAACTTCAAAATCACAACAGCAATAAAAACCAACACTGGCTTTAACCCTTCCCCACTATACCTAAAAAAAAAAAAAGTTTTGGCTAGATTTTGAATCAAAACAATGACTGAACTGAGTAAGTAAAAAACTCTTTAGGTCTGCACTAGTTTTACTACTAGCTTTACTCTCTTTGGGGTAGAGAAAATCGAATTGTTTACATGAAACAGAATATGCTTTGATTCTGACCTGGAATAGAGTTTTATTTTCTAACTGGATTCTATGTCTATGGAGCACTTAACATGCCTGAAAAACCTTGCATTCTTTGAATCCCCCAATCCTAGTTGATTAACAAAAATCCCCTAATCAATTACATGCATCCTTATATCAATATTCTATAATGTATTTTTAGAAATACAAGTTAACTTTAATATTTTTGTGTTTAGGAGAGCATTCAGCCATTCTTGAAACTGCTGAATCTGCAGTGAACATTTCCTGTGGAATAGCAATGTATGTACACAAATTGGTCATATCCCACTTTATCTCCTCTTGTCAGTGGCAAATAAATCCAGCTTAACTAATCTGTCCTCATAGCTAATATCATCTATATCTCCTGGTAATCAGTTACCTTTTCCAGTATTTTTGTGAACCTGTCACTAAAAATTAACTGCATATTTAAGATGAGGCTGTACTTAGTCTTTCAATTGGGGCAAAAGTTGTCACTCTCTCTTTTCTGTGTCTCTTTCAGTACAAGAAATTAGGTGTTATAAGCTGAAGAAAAGCATCGCATGGGATAATGATCTACAACTCAATAAGTCACTGAGCAGTTTAACCACATTCATCACAGATGATTGCTCTGGGCAATAGATGCAAAGAAGTGGAGGAAGTGAAAGAAAATCCCAACCCTGCCCAAGGAGAAAAAACTTCCAATCATGCTATATGACAAACTATAGTCATAACTGTCAGCTTTCCTTCATTATCTAAGATATCCCCACACATGGATGTTGTAATGAGCATAAAAGCCATTTGCCCCAAGCTTTTCCATACATTGGGCCTTAGCAATGGCAAAGAGCATGAATCACAGTGGATTGAAAAATGGCAAGCCATCTAGAGTAAATTATCTTCTTTTACTTCAATTGTTTGGGGTAAACAAAACATTTAACATATGACCTGGGGAGAGGTTTTTGTTGCTGAACACCAGTAGTAGATCCCCCCCAAATGCAACATTGTTATGTTTGTCTTTTCCATAAACTCAAATTGTAAATTAATCAGAGGGTGTCTTAAGGTCTCTAATCTACTTTTAATCAGGCACGTAACTAGTGTCAGGCACCCAGGGCATGTATCCTGCATCTCCTGCTGTGTGCCCCAAGTCCTGACACCATGACTTCCCACACACAAGCAGGCTTAAAATATATTTAACCATGTTCCTTTAGGCCACACACAATATCCAGAGCAATTTAGTAAAACCCACTTATCACTATGGCATGCTCCACATGCCTTATGTTCTCTCCTTTACGGGTTCCAGGTGCTGAGGCTAGGGTTAGGTCTGTGAGAGTTTTGCTTTTGGCACAGTAATTAAAAGCATTTTTGTGACTACGGAAGAGCTGTGGTATATGTGTATTGTGTATACAGCGAGTAGGCTCAGGTTATATGTAACCATACCCTAAGCCATACGCCTCTGCCATTGGTAGCGCAATTAGACCACACCCACCATTTCCTGCAGCACACTACTGGTGATGCACCATTTCTTTCCTCAAGGTGCTCAAGGGCTTTCACAATCCTAGTTACTCCCCTGCTTTCAATAGAAATAAAGGGAGTACCAGGCCGTGACAACAGTAGCTTAAGTTTGCTTAGTTAATACCAAGCACATCATAGTTGTCAGGAAAGATCAAATAGTGTACTTAACTCAGGCCCTTTCTACTTTAAAACAGAAAAATCTGTTTTTATTGGAATGATTTGCCACGTTGAGCAATAATATTTTGTGTGTAGTGCTAGATTAAAATGGGTGATTTTTACCTTGGGTCCAGTTGAGGCTTAAAGAATCTAGTAAAGCTTAAAGTACACCTGTCCGGCAATTGCTGATTTCCTCCTGAAAATACCAGTTCCCCAGTTGCATCTGGCTTCAACTGTGTTGAATCATGACCCCCGAACAAGCATTATGCTAATGATTGTCAAAACTGCCACAAATTCTCATCTCTATACTTGTTCCAGGTCATTGACCCAGAAATCATTGACTGCAATACATCTGCATGACAGCCAGGGATATAGCAATCTCAAGTAAAGACCAGCAATGGAAACCTTCAGAATGTTCTAATGACAGATGTACTTTAAAGTTATCTTGGACTTAGGTTTTAAAATTTAAAGCAATTTCTTAAATCATATTTATGGTCAAATTAATAGTCATAATCTCCAAAATATAGTGGTTCAAAGGCCACTGAAGCAGGATTGTTCCATGACAATATTAGACAGACCAACAGAACAGTGAACCTAAAAACCACTGTAAGCCCTTGGTAATAATGTGTGCATCACAAATGCTGTAGGGTTCAATTTCTTACTTACAAATCAGCCATAAGCTGGCAAAAATGGTTATTGATTTAAAAAAAAATGCTGTAGTAGGTTTTAGCATAAACAACTCCACCAAAATAAAACATTTCCCATTTCTGCTGGGACAGGGCAATTCTCTCGTCCTATTTTGACTGCTACACATAACCATAGGAATGATTATGTGCCTTTTACTTAGTTTTTCATGGGAGCATAGGAAGAACTCACTTAGGCCAGTTAAAACTAACTCAATTGAAGAATCAAATCCTGCTGCAGCATCAGTAAAGTTAAAATTGCATTACTGGAATACCTTGCATAAAAATGCAAGTGCTCTCCTTTGTAGTGTACTATAAAAAAGAAAAACCCTTAGTGTAATGCATAAAGAAAAAAAAAAGTAAATAATTAACTAAAGCTTTATCCTATCTTTAACTTCAAGATTAGAGTATTAAGACTACTTGGATTGTTGCTAAAGTTTATTCTTTGACCAAGTGTACACAAAATTACCTTCTTTCACATTTTAGCTTACAGCAACATAGTGTAGGCTACTTACCCAGCATCTGTGCTATTACCACAAAGTAATGGATCTATGGCTCCATGCGGTTTGTAAAAGTTTGCTGAAAAGTATACAAAGATAACATTAAAAAATCTAAAAGTGAATTTGTTTTCAAACTGACAGTTATTCAGTTATATAGTCTATATTTCCTTAACTTCGCAAGCTAGGTTTGAGGGGAAATTACCCTGTAATTGACAGTTCTACTCTCCCAATACTATTCTTTTTATAGAGAAGAACTTTCAGCAGTCACACATTTTCTAGCATGGTAAAAAAAACTGCTGTGTGCATGACAAGCACTTCTGACATTCAATTCTTGCATATATCATATCGCTTACAAATATTACAAAACCTGTAGAAGGCAACAAGCAATATCTTTGAGGTTTTCTTTTTCTATAAACTAAATCTGGCCATACCTGTAGAACCATAGACATTAGCAGATGGCCATTTTTTTTAGTACACGTGTTTTACCACAAGGGCAACAATCCATATTTTTATAGATATATGTAATGGTGGCAGGCCTCATCATGAAAGGAGTGTAAATGGTTATAATAATAATATTAATTCTAACCGTCACAGCATGCAAAAACATGTATGGTCACAAACAAAAATATAAAATGAGACTACGTACTATCATTGTTCGTGTATTCATCAAAGTCAAAACCTTTGCTGCCATTGGCCAAATACTGCTCATCCAGGTTGATTGGCCAAACAACACATTTCCGTCTTAAATGACCCATGAAAAGCTGTAGACCGATTAAAGCGAAGACACTGAGGCAAAACACTGTCAAAATCATTACATCTGACAGTTTCTTCACAGACTGAATAAGGGCACCCACAATGGTCTTCAAACCTGCAGAATGAAATCAACAAAATCTAAATGTTAAACCACAATTAGGATTTCACAGCCCTGTATGCATTCTAATTGTAAGCACAGCTCTGTAAGTAGAACTTCATAAAGCTACAGGTATCTGCATCTTGTCCAGCATCACATAGCCTTGTAAAGCACACCCTGCAGCTGCAAAGCTGTACAATTTTGTCCCTGAAACAGAGCATGCATCTGGTACAACTGCAGTATGATTTAGGGGTTCATATACAATACATGGCTGCTTTGATTGTGCTTGAATAGTGATCACCAAAATCCACTGAACCCTTATGCACAGGGACGTGTACACACGTTTATTCTTCATACTAAAAAAGTATGTCCTGTAAACCAATGAGCTTATGTCATTTGCTCCTTTTTTTGGTCTGTTAGGTATACTTCTGAAAGTGTTCTGTTATATCTGTTCAATAATTGCAAAAATACCTGATGATCCTGCCAGAAATCTAGTGAGCTTGTAACTTCCAGTAGTAAGCCAACAACACAGGGCTACTGCTACACTGAAATCTGAAGTGGTATCAGTCCTTCTCAAGTTATCTCTGAGCTACAGAACACCTCCCCTGTGTAATGGAGAAGAGGTTGAAGGTATTCTGAAATGATTCCTGTTCTAGGGTGACCATGTTGCTCCTCATAGAGTACAGTGAGTATGCCTTTATTAACTATAAATCAGTGGTGGTAGAGGTGCATGGTATTTACTACATGTCTAAAGCAGCAATACAATTAATTATCACAGCCAACTGAACTGGTTTGTTCCACAAGGATCATGTTGTTGAGAATTACAAGTCTTGCTATAGAATTACAAGTCTTGATGATAAAAGCACAAAAAAAAACTACAGCACCGCCCCAATGAGATATATTTCTTTGATTTTTCACTCTATCATATACAACTGATGCCATGGTCATGGGCTTACAGTAGGTGCTGGCTGCACCTACTGTAATACAGAAGTCACACAAAAAATAGTTTTTTTTTTTTTCTGGAGGTGCTGTCCCTTCTGTTCTTGTGTTAGGAAAGATACACACGCCTGCTATGTGCTTTCTTGTCATTAATTATAATTTATAACAGTTTTTATTATAAATAGCAATTGCTAAAGAATTATGGCAATCCATTTTAACTGAGATAATAATAAAAAAGTAGTGCATTTTTCAAATATTGAGAAAATCACTCTTTTATAGCGGTTTGCCATTTACAATTCTCCACATTCACTAATCCACACAATTCAAAGCACATACTGGACAGTTGTGCCTGATCAGCCATAGGGAGCTAATATTGTACAGTATAGGTAAATATAACAGGCATTTTCGAGAGATGTCCCAATTAAAAAGGAAATACAATACCATTACACTGGAGAGATGACCGCTTAGTAGGCGATAGTGTGTTATTAAGGAAAAATGCAGTTGGTCTCCAGTTAATAATGCATACCCATATTTCCCAGTGCTTTTGTTTTATAAAGGAATCCACTATAACAGATATTAATACATCTTTTAAAGTCTATTCCATGTTCAACTTTTGCTTATCATGATAACCAGTGTATGTGCTAGGATAATAACAGATGTAAAATAGCTACTGCCAAAAATATTCATTAGTTAGCACATTAATAAAATAGTTAATTTACAAACAGATAATTTTAACTAGTTTTGGCCAATTAGACAATGTAGTCTTTGTCTACCAAAGGACCCTCTTACTCTAGGATTTTATCATTGCCCAGCACAGATAAAGGTTGTCATAAATGTGGAACAAGCTGATGCAATTGATGCAAATATAAAGTCAGTTCTGGTATTTCTGCTACAATCATCCTTTCAGTGCAAATTGTGGGCACAGCATAAGCAAGACATGCACATGAATAAAAACATGCTCGTATAAAGCACTGTGTATTTAGTTTTTCTTAGTTAACCTACATTCATGTGTTTGTAGAATAAAATAAACCACCTTTTTTAAATGTATTAATGAAAAGAGCAAAGAGCAGGTATGTACAGTTAATTGCATTTTGCACTATTAGGGGCCATAATAAATAATAGTTTAAGAATAAACACCATCATTTCTGATGCAGATTTAAGCATTGCTTCCTAGATAAAACAATGTAACTATTAAAACTATCTCTCTGATTCTAGTGTTAACTCCATATTAGGTCGAAATGCACTGTGGCAAACTTCAAGGAAACCTGCACTGAAAGAAAAAACAAAATAGAGACTCCTATTGCTGACCTCATAGTAAAACGTTAGTTGCTTTACTGTCCTTTAGCTTCAAAGCTAAACTCCAGGAAAAAAAAATTACCCTTGCAGTGGTGCTCCCCCTGCACTGCAGAGGTTGAATGATTGTTTTGTCTGGGGGAGGCGGAGGGCAGCTAAGGCAGTAATACTTACCTTATTCCTTGCTCCCCTGGCAGCCGACCCTGTTCTCCTTTCTCTGATGCAGTGGGCTGTGGGAGGGCTCTTGACATCCTCACTTGCAATGCTGGTTCAGCATTGCATGTGATGATTTACGTGTGCCTGCGACCGAAGAGAAAGCATTTTTTAGGGATCTGTTGTGCAGCTGGGAGAAAGTCTGGAGGAGCTAGGGATAAAGTAAGTATAGTTGCATTTTCTATATTCACCTAAGACACAACAAGCATTTAACCCTTGCTGTGTGCGGAGAGATACACTGCAAGGGTATTTATTTTTTTCCTGGAGTTTACCTTTAAGACATTTTGAATCATGTATGTGAAAAAAACATGCCATCAGTAAAGTCAAAACCTGCTAATTATTCCAAGTTAGTGACTCAAAGTATTGATATCTTTGGATCAAGGTTTTCAAGCATTTTCAAGGACAATTGCATAAAACCTGTAAAAATTTAAATATGGGAGCTACCATTATGACAGCATCATCCTGATCCTGGCTTTTATAACTATGGAGCCACTCACCTAGAATACATGTGCAAGATGGCATTTTAGATTTTAGCACTGCATTCTTGTTTCAGGTTAGTGGGCCACACCACAGGCCTGAATCAGGATGACAGCCATAGAGTTTACACATTTTAAAAAGTCTTTAATGGCAGCTCCAATGTTTCTTTCCTCACTGGAATCCTTTAAAATGCATCTGTCACATTAAACTGGTTTGTGCAGTATCGGTTCAAAAAAAGCTGCACTCAACGGATCTTCCACATGAATCCAAACTTTATTTTAATCCATATAACGGTATACACTAGAACGCGCTCCCCAGAGCAAGATCAACTATCACGTGTTTCACCCACAGGGCTTAATCACATCTCTATGATTAAGCCCTGTGGGTGAAACGTGTAAGTAAGTTACTCTTACTATGCAGCTTTTTTTGAACCGACATTATCACAGGTGGAACTGAACGTTTTCGCCAGCACCTGGATTTCCACTATAGGAATCTGACTACAGAATTGGAGCAGTGAGTTTTGTGGACTATTGTGGTTTGTGCTACAATGGTATGCATTTAGTCCTAGTAGCTACATTTCACATACAAAATGTTAAAGTTAGAAATTAGAAATGTGAGCGGTGTCATATTCCTGCCTCACAAAAAATCTTCTTGTAGCCATATTAGATGATAACTGAAGCTCCTGCTATACTTCCAGGCCAACACATACACTATAATGCCAAAAGTATTGGGACGCCTGCCTTTACACGCACATGAACTTGAATGGCATCCCAGTCTTAGTCCGTAGGGTTCAATATTGAGTTGGCCCACCCTTTGTCACTGTAACAGCTTCAACTCTTCTGGGAAGGCTGTCCACAAGGTTTAGGAGTGTGTCTATGGGAATGTTTGACCATTCTTCCAGAAGCGCATTTGTAAGGTCAGGTACTGATTTTGGACAAGAAGGCCTGGCTCGCAGTCTCCGCTGTAATTCATCCCAAAGGTGTTCTATCGGGTTGAGGTCAGGACAGTCAAATTCCTCCACCCCATACTCGGTCATCCATGTCTATATAGACCTTGCTTTGTGCACTGGTGCGCAGTCCAGTTGGAGCAAGAAGGGGCCATTCCCAAACTGTTCCCACAAAGTTGGGAGCATGAAATTGTCCAAAATGTGTTGGTATGCTGATGCTTTAAGAGTTCATTTAACTGGAACTAAAGTACCAAGTCCAACCCCTGAAAAACAGCCCCACACTATAATCCCCCCTCCACCAAACTTTACATTTGGCACAATGCAGTCCGGCAAGTAGCATTCTCCTGGCAACCGCCAAAACCAGACACGTTTGTTGGATTGCCAGACAGAGAAGTGTGATTCGTCCCTCCAGAGAACACATCTCTACTTCTCTAGAGTCCAGTGGCGGCGTGCTTTACACCACTGCATCCGACGCTTTGCATTGCACTTGGTGATGTAAGACTTGGATGCAGCTGCCCTGCCATGGAAACCCATTCCATGAAGCTCTCTGCACACTGTTGTTCTGAAGGCCACACAAAGTTTGGAGGTCTGTAGCTATTGACTCTGCAGACAGTTGGTGACTTCTGCGCACTGTGCGTTTCAGCATGCGCTGACCCCACTCTGTCATTTTACATGGCCTACCACTCTATGGCTGAGTTGCTGTTGTTCCCAGTTGCTTCCATTTCGTTAGAATACCACTAACAGTTGACCGTGGAATATTTGGTGCGCAGTCCAGTTGGAGCAAGAAGGCTTTGTTCCCAGTTGCTTCCATTTCGTTAGAATACCACTAACAGTTGACCATTGAATATTTAGTAGCAAGGAAATTTCACGGAACACCTGAATCCAATGATTTGGAGGGGTGTCCCAATACTTTTGGCAATATAATGTATGTATGTATGCTTTGCAGGTCTTATAGACCCCAGTGCTGCAGCCATGTCTCCTCATCCCTCTCCTACTGACCATTCACAAAATGAAGCCTAAAGCTGTATTTCACGTATATATGGAGTTTAAAGCCAGAAGTGATTGTTTAATATAGTGTACAAAAAGTTATATTACAATAGTTGTTTAAAGCAATATAAAAGTCAATCCATTTTGGGGTTTTGTGCAATCAGTGGACAACTGTATAAAACAGACGCTGAGAAAAAAAATGTGTTGGTAATAGTCAAAAATGTCACAATGGAAACTATGGAACACATTTTAAAAATTTTGCGGGACAGCCTCTATTCATGTCAGTTGATATTATTTCTTCTAGTGTAAAAGGCAGCAAAAGTTTAGCAAATAGTGATATTTTGGAATTCCTAGGTCAGTTTGTATGGCAAGATGTAGCAGCAAGGATTCAAGCCCAGGGAGGGACCTGCAACTACTGATTTTGGTGACAATTTAGGTCCAAAAGATACAAATCATTGGCTCAACACTGTCTGCATGAAAGAGCCGACTTCGGCTTGACATTTATAATAAGTGTCTGGGACCAATGTATTGATTCTGTGCAGCCTTGGAGGGTATAGTAGACTCCATGCAAAAACTTAGCTTGCATTCATTTTTCTTTCGCTGAGGTCATTAGTATTGTGTAATCCCACACCCCAGTCATCCTCTGAGAGCATAGGAATGTCAAGCTTCCATATGTGGAATAATTGAGTTGCAGAAAATTCAAAAATGGCTTGGCCAGCTGATTTGAAAAATGTTCCGGAGGGCTTGGCAGCGAAAGGGTTAAAGGTGTCTGACACTGTCCTTCCTTCTGGAGGGTGGTTACTTTTGCGCCCCATGGTCCCCGTACCTTCTTCCGTGATAGACTATAACTTCAATACAAATTAGCTAACTAAACATGAGATTGTAGTCCATCACGGGAGAAAGCTTGAAGTGGTGGCTACTTAACAACACACACAGGGACCATGGGCAGCAAAAGTAGCAACCTTCCAAAAGGAAGGACAGTGTCAGTGTGAATTCAGAGATGAATTGAGGACCTACAGCTGAGTGAAACACAAATAAGCTACATTTTTGTTAATAGTTAAGGTACTTGGATGCATTTTTAGGATTTAACTCATGAGTTTACTGTCACTTTAAGGTAGTTGTTTAAATCTGTGGTAGTATATGTCCTTAGTATATACAGTGGTTTGCAAAAGTATTCACACCCCTTGGCATTTTTTTCCTATTTTGCTGGGAATTTAAATAGATTTTTGGGAGTTTGTATCTTTTAATTTACACAACATGCCTACCACTTTGAAGATGCAAAATATGTTTTTATTGTGATACAAACAAGAAGACAAAAGTAACCTGAAAACTTGAGCATGCATAACTATTCACCCCCCCCCACCCCCCGTCCCCAAAGATAATAATGTGTAGAGCCACCTTTTGTAGCAATTACAGCTGCAGGTCTCTTGGGGTACATCTCTATAACCATGGCACATCTAGCCACTGGGATTTTTGCCCATTCTTCAAGACAAAACTACTCCAACTCATTCAAGTTGGATGGGTTTTGCTGGTGTACAGCAATCTTTAAGTCATGCTGCAGATTCTCAATTGGATTTAGGTCTGGGCTTTGACTAGGCCATTCCCGGAAATGTAAAGTTTTCCCGTTAAACCACCCGAGTGTTGCTTGAGTAGTATGCTTAGGGTCATTGTCCTGTTGGAAGGTGAACCTCCGTCCCAGTCTCCAATCTCTCGCAGACTAAAACAGGTTTCCCTCAAGAATTTCCCTTTATTTAGCGCCATCCATCATTCCTTCAATTATGACCAGTTTGCCACTCCCTTCCAATGATACAAATCCCCACACTGCTACCACCATGCTTCACTGTGGGGATGGTGTTGAGAGGCCATGGGTTTGTGCCAGACATAGCGTTTTCCTTGAAGGCCAAAAAGCTCAATTTTAGTCTCATCTGACCAGAGTACATTCTTCCATATGTTTGGAGAGTCTCCCATATGCCTTTTGGTGAACAGAAAATGCGTTTGCTTATTATTTTTGTAAGCAACTACTTTTTTCTGGCCACTCTTCCATGAAGGCCAGCTTTGTGGAGTGTATGGCTTAAAGTGGTCCTATGGACAGATACTTCAATCTGAATGAAAGGTTTCTGTAGTTTGAGACAATCACCTACATTATGTACTTAGATTAGGAGTTCTGACTTTACTCTGATTTTCTGGATCTGCATGCTGTGTCAGTCTCTCAAAGTATTTAAGCCATTTGATATACAATGACAGCAAAGCGACAGGCATTATAGAATTAAGTTTCTTTCAATGATGATGAAGGCCATCCATTTTTTTCATCGTTTTCCTTCAGAAAGGTTTTAACCCTTAGTAGAAAGCAGGCATGTCTTGTCATGCCCCACCCTATGATGGGATTCATCCACTCTATTCAGATTTACATTATTAAATAACTGAAGTGAATATACACACAATTTATTCTCAACTCCATCAGTAAATCAGCCTTTATGAGCTGTAGTCATCCTTAGAGACTCTCCAAATGGAACACTCTCCAGAGGTTGGGAATAGGAGGACAGTGGGGGTAATTCATCAAAACTGGAGCAGACAGAATCTAGAGCAGTCGCCCATAGTATCCAATCAGCACCTCTCTTCAATTTGCTCAGGTAAGCTTTGAAAATGAAATAAAGAAGCCGATTGGTTGTCATGGGCAACTGCCCCAGATTCTGACCGCTCCAGTTTTATTAGATTCCCCCAAGTTACTCAGACCATATAACTTTTCTCTGATAGTTTAGGGAACCATGTTTTTATACAGGTTACTCATCTTTTATACAGGTTATGCATCTTTGTGTATTGCCCTTTGATACAACTGGCATCTAAATGGCCAATTTCAAAATTATAGACCTTCACTAAATACCTTTCTAAATGTGAGCAGATGAAAATGCCTTACATACTTGCAAGGCAAAAAGTTGCAGCGTCATAACCTACTTTCACTTGTTGCTGTAGGATTCTGTTAATAATTATATTGCTTTCATATCTACTTAAAATCATGTGGCTAAACAAAGAACATTTTCCCATGTTCTTTAATTAGCAATTCATTAATACAGAATTTTACATCTTAAACAAGTTCTGATAGTAAAAGAGCAATAGCAAATAAAACATGCATCTATATCATAACACACGAAGCAAACATTTTCATGAGTGGGTTCAAGCTTGAAAGGGGTATGTTTTCATGCAAATCATTTAAACTCCAAGGCTGAAGTGCTTTCAAATCTCAAAGTAAATTTGCAAATACCAATATATTTCCACTAAAGTAATATAATTAAAATGAAACAATATGCAAATAATAAAAAAACATTTAAATGTTTGAAAATATTCATAATAATCATTATAACATATATAAGATATATGTTACAAACATAACACTACATCTGTAGGTTCTTTTTGTTTTTTTTTGGTTTTTCAGCACACACAAAATACTATCATTCTAACCTATTTTTTCTAAAGTTATAGCTTGCCAACTTTATTTATGATCAATGGACATTAAGATTCTATACCTTACATTTTACCAGTTAAAAGTACCAATTAGAGCATACTGCAAAAGACAAATACACAGTATATTTCAAAGCATTAACTATCAAGATATAATTTGCATCTTTGTAAATAACGCAGATGTATACGAAAATGCAATTTTCATCAATAGATTATTTACATCCTCAATATACTAAAAAAGTTTCAATGTGCAAGTATAAATTAATATCATTAGTGATTTTAAAATGCATTGTAATTTACAATCTAAAAAGGTAAAAACATTTCACTGTAATAAAACAGATATTGTTATGTTATGATTGATGGAAATCCAATAACTAATACAACTAACCAATAACACAGTTTATTTGTCTTACAGTTCACTTTGATTGGGGTAAAGTAAAAAAATAAATAAAAAGGAAAAAAAGGCTATTCATTGAGACATGCAAGAAATTTATTTGCATTTTAACATTAGGCTTGGCAGTCTTGATGAAACCAAATTGGGCAAATGCCTCCAGTATTATATATGTGAAATTTGTAATCACCGCAGCTCAAGGACTGAAACTTAAGTAGAGTAAAAGTTGTAGTGTGCGTAAAGTAGGGCAAACAGAACAACTGGCCATGTTCCTTTACTTATTACCCAGCTGCACAGAGTCTTGTGCGTACCAAGTGTTTCATGTCAACAAATTTACTTCAACAACATGAAAAGATGGAGCAATACAAAAAACATTTATCTCCATGTTAAATAAATTTTTAGTGTTACATTTACATTGATATCATGGCATGTTAGCATGCTTGCATCAATAATACATAATGCATTCCCTTTTGCATTCCTAATAGTGAATCAACTAGTTGCAAGAGTACTGCATTGATCAGTCTTATGAACTCTGCAATATATATTCATAGGCACTACTCTAAAGTGTTCAGTGTTTTATGAACAGTATACTTGTGAGAGAAAAGCAGACTGCAAAGCCAACCAAAAATGTGTTGCACCATTTTTGAAAGAAACAATAGAATGTGCATGAAAGATCAGCCTTAGTGTTTAAACGTTATCTCACCTGGAATGACAGAGATAGTTTTCAAAGCTCGGAGAACTCTGAATGTTCTCAGCGCTGAGACATTCCCAAGGTCCACAAACTCTGTCACATATCTGTAATAAGGGAGGTCACACACAAACACAATGACAAAACACAAAACAACTACAACAGGAAGTACGTCACAGGGCCTAACCAACACCTAACATCCACTGCAGGCCACCTTACCTGGAATTACAGATATAGTTTTCAAAGCTCTCAGAACTCTGAAAGTGCGCAGAGCTGAAACATTGCCTAGGTTTACAAACTCTGTTATATACCTGCAGAATCAAATCAGAGTTACTTGTAATGTAGTGGATGGATAAATGTAGGCCCTACATTATCCAGATTGTTCCTATGGGAATATTTTGATATTTTAGGTGGCCTATAGTAATTCATAGGCAAACCTATGTGTTTTAAAGGAGTATAAATCTGGCCAAAGTTGGAGAGTATTTTGTATCTTAGTATGAGGTTAAAGGCCTATAATTCCATAACCTAGACATTTTTAGGAGCCTAATGAAAACCAAATGTCCTTGTTTTTAAACTCCATGAGGGCTTAGTTATTGGAGACAAACTGCCTCTTAACATAGGATTAGATTCAGAGAACACTTTCCTTCACAGTATAGCATTTGTATACTATTTGTTTTCTAGCACTAAAAGGGTGGCACCATGTGTAGCCATCGCCCAAATGCAATTTTGTTTAACATTCACAAGGGAGGCTCTTCATCTCCATAAACGGAAACACTCCCAAACTAATGCTTCCTGCTACTGCTAAACCGGGTGTTATAAGTTGATGAAAACCTTGAATGAAAGCAATATGTATCCTGTCTTTGCAGACCTCCTTCTGAGAATTCTAATCAATAGCTTAAAGACATTCTGAGTTACTGAATATTCTGAGGTACTGAACTAGGACAAGTATCATGGGGTTGATTTACTACTAAAAGGCAAGTAGTCTGTTCATCTTGGAAGGGAATTTACATTTTGCAACTTTCCTTTAGCTTAGTGAATGTGGTAATATTTCACTATGCAAAGAATACACAATCATGCACAAGGAAAATAAAAAAATAGAGTGTTTTTGTTTCCACATGATTGGATGATGGAAGTCAGCAGAACTTCACCACATTCACTAAACTAAGGGAAGTCTTCCCCTGCAAAGTGCAAATTCTCTTACAAAGTGAACAGGCTATTTGCTTTTAGTAAACCAACTCCCAGAAGTTCACTCTGATATCACTTGCAGCTTCATAGCAGAGACTCAGAAACTATTGACACCACACGGCTTGCCTTTTTAAAAGGTGGTCAAGAAAAACAGTCTCCATATTTCTCTTAGCACAGGTTTCCTTAAAGAAAGGGGAAGGCCATTTGAGAAAATAGTAAAATCTCTACTACTTGAAAATGATAATGTTCATAATCCCCAGTCTCAAACCACTTAGCATAGGTTTAGGACACACTAAGCAGCTGCTAAAAGGAGAATATGTTTTGTCTGATTTTTGCCTCATTTATGAACATAAAAGAAAACACAAATGTGTTTTTCACTGCAACCAACAACAGTATTTCTCATTTTTACAAAGCTGTTTAAAAAAAACAGAAAGGTTGTCAGTTATTATGCAGAAAGCTAAAAGTACCCTGCATATAAAACATTTTATAATGCAGAGATAAAATATCTAAATGGAATAACTGGGAAGATAAATGCCAGAACTTCCAGGCTTACAAAAACGTTTTGCTTTACAGATGGGGCATACTGTCTTACTTTTTTTAATTATTCATCCATCTAAATGAAGGAAAGTATCAAGCCTAAAAGAGCTTATTTCAGTTATGTGCACACAGGTACCAGAGGGCCAGTATTTTGTATTGTTTATAGTGGTGACTGTAGTGTATATCAAGCAGGTCCTTTTTACTTATATGATTGCTTAGGGGGCAAGATCAGAAAGCAAAAAGGTAAAAATAGCCCTTTAAAAAAAAACAGAAAACCTCCTGCCATGACATTTTAGAGAGTTGGGGCCGACCACTTGGTCTTTTTTTGCCATCACTTCTCTATGGTTCCATTTTTGTAGTTATTTGAATGCACTCTCTGTAAAATAGGGCATAACAATTCAGATAAAGGCGCATATTTCGGCTTGTAAAGCTTTGGCACACACTGGATCTTTTGGAAAAGCTTCTGCCAGGCATGCCTGCACAAACCTGTTGTAGCTTTCAGTAACCCCTGCTTTTCCCCTAATGCCAAGCAAATTCTGATTAGCAAAGTTGCTGTAGGTATGTAAGGGCACCTCTATGTTCCGGCCCATTAAACCTACCAGCAAATTTTCATTTTTTTAATGACAGACTGTTGGTAGTGCTTGGGGCCTTCATGGTACATACTTAAACCTGTATCTACATGACTAAAAATAATGTTTATTTATTCGCATTAAACAACAAAAAACTTCAGGGTAAACCATACAGTATGTATAGGTGCTTCAATACATTCACATATCTATATAACATCACGTCAGTGATTCCGACATGAATGTACATAAATGCTTCATAACTTGATAATGCTGTAATGGTTTGAGTCCTCAATGCGTTTCACTAAAATAGCTTCTTCAGGAGGAAGGAGGGCGTTGAAATCTGACACGGATAAAAGCCAACTTATAGGAATGCTCTTGCTCATTGGCTTAGCGTGGGGCAGGGCCAGGAGGGGCCAGGTCAGCATGCAGCAGCCACTGCTAGTAGAAGCAACATGGTGTCCCCTTCAAGCAAGATGGAGCTTATCTAGGACATACTGGAAGCCTAGGATCCTGGCCCACTATTCTATGTATCATTCTTAAAGTGACAGAGTCACCAACATCTTCCTCTACCCCATTTCTATCCCACAATCCATTCCTTTAGCGGCATGTGTTTAAGTAACTTAGCCTAATGCTATTAGGAGGTATAGCCAAGTGCTATGTGTTCTGGCTGTCCCACCTAAAAAAACTTCTGCCCAATATGCAGGTCTGCGAGATAAAATGAGTCTGTGTAGTTACATATTACATGGGCAATACAGTTCTTTTTACAAGCAGAGCCGTAAACAACAACACAAGGTACAGTATATCCATATGATTAATTAGCTGCATTTGACTCTGGGGACAAGAATTCTGAGAATCTGCAGTGAAATCACAAGCAGAAGCTGTTTGCCTGCTTGTAAAACATTCCCTCAGACTGGACTTTCTGCAGTCTTGGAGCTGTTGTACTGCATTACGAGACCCAAAGTTTGAGAAAATAAACACTGAAATTCAGAGGCAATGAGGGAAAGAACACAGGAAAGCTGGGTTGCTAGTGCTTCACAGGACTGACTGATTTGAGTAAACTACAAAGCTAAACAAAATTAAAAATCCACTGGCAAGCAAAACAGTATATGCAGTAGCAGCTGCAACTTCTGCAACCCTGGTAGTTCTCATGAAAATGCCAAGTATCGGCACTGGTATCTGATCTGGTATCTGTGCATCCCCAGTAATTGAGTATTTCAACTGTGTATTTAGCTGATGGGAGCTCCTTCCTTTATCAGAGGTGCAGAATTCCTATCGGCCGGGCAGGTGTTTTTTTTTCTACATTCAGCCCTGCTTTGGGCAAGCAGGGCTAAATGTAGAGCTGGGGGAAGTGGCCGCTCATTATATACAAATGATCTAGGCGGCTATAAAGCCGCCCAAGTCACTTGTATAGCAGGCTATTTTAAAAAAAATGAAAACCGACCCTGCCATCAACATGCGAATAAACTTAGACTAGCTACATCCAAAAACTCAGCTCAAACATCCCAGTACAATGTCTAGAAATAAGAACATTTAGCACGGTAAAGAACAAGATACTTACGCCATCATAATAACGCTGAAATCTAACCAATTCCATGGATCCCGCAAAAATGTAAAACTATCTATACAAAAACCTCTTGCAATCATTTTTACAAGTGATTCAAATGTATAAATTCCGGTGAAGGTGTACCTTAGAAAAACAAAAGCATTAGGTTTAACATTGCGCAGTATATTCATATATTAGCACAAACAACTGATGTATGGATATTTCATTTTATATTAACGAGATCTCTAAATGTCGTTTGAAAAGTTGTTCCTGCCAAGTGTGACATCTGAAGGATAGCTTTGCGAAATTGTATTGTATTAAAACATAGGAAGCCTGTGCATAAAATTTTGTACAGATAGCTTGCCAAATGACAGTGGTATTCTTTGTAGGTGAAGGACCAAGTACCTGACAAGACTAGCTGCTTAAGTGCAGTAACCTAAAGCAAATTAAGCAGCTAGAAATCTAATGCATACTTAATAGCAGAATTTCTTTATCATAGTATCTGAAAATACTACAAATGCTACACTGGCACCACATTAGAGGCTATAGCTGCATGGTGGGTGGGGCAAGAAATCTAAAAAAACACGCAAAATCAGTGCAATGTAACACATTCTCACCAGCATTTTGTTTCAGAAAATAGGCAACATCCAAAAATAAGGAATGTCCAGGTGTCTCTGCTTCAGAATATAGCAGTCATATTTGCCCAATACAAATCAAAGCCGATAGCAAGTATGTATAGTTTGCATACTCGTCTTACAAAAGTTTTATTTTTTGCTTTTTTATGGATATCACTGTCAAAACACAGGTTTCCACAAGACTTTCTTTGGGATTGCTGCCCAGGACACAACTAAAGCTGGGTACACACAATCATATTTTTTTTATTCCGCCTCAGATTCCTCTATCCACGCTATTGGTGTGGATGAATAAATCCCCTGCTGTGCATATATTATTCTCACAGCGGCGCCAGGCACTGTCAGAATACCCAAATGGACATAGGTGCCCACAGGAGCATCTTAATCACTTTGAGCCCGAATTTGAAACCATAACAGCGAGTGCTGTGCTTTTAATCACTGAGCCAGTGAAAAGATCACAAAGATTTTTCTGTGACTGGCTCAGTGATACAAAGCATAGCAGCACTTGCCACTTACATTCCTCACATAAGAGCCACAGTCCTCGGTGCCTGGGAAGCTGCAAGGTAGTGTGACTGCAGCTTCTTAGGCTTCCCATCCAATCAGGAAGTCACATGACCACCTGTCAGGCTCCCTACTTCCCTATTGCACCCCTACTGGAAGAGGTAAGGGACAGAAGAGATGTGAATCCGGGATGCCTCAGGTCTGTGTATTTATGTATGTATTATATGCACGTGTGTGTTTGTGTGTATGTACTTTTGTGTGCACACCCTAAAGCAACAGGCTGTGCACGCCTATGCGAATGAAGCTTGCAGCTTATTACCTGCAAGCACTGTTCAACCGATTTTTCAGCATGTCCTTCAGCAAAAGTCAACCTAATGATCGACTTCTGTGGAAGGGATGTAGAAAAGTCAAATTTTGGCCAGTTCAGCAGGAATCAGACAAAATTCGATCCGTGTGTGGCCCTAGCCACGGATCGAATTTTGCCCGATTCCTGCTGAACTGGACAAAATTTGCTCTGTGTCCCCAGCTTAACATGCAACATTTAGAAAGCCAAGAGCAATCTCCATTTGCATTTCTACAGTTGCACAAATCTGACAACAAAAAACAATAAGTACATTATAAAAATGATTTGTATGCATATTAAGCAGGGTTACACAAGGCTGTACCTCCTTGTGTGTCAATTAATTCTCCTTTACCTGGTGAACATACAGCTGCCAAAGCACACATCTTACATGCAATATGAAACATAGAAATGATTAAATAAAACAAGTACTTACTCCACTTGCTTAGACCATTCTGGGGGATTACTAAATGTCATGAATACGCAGTTGGTCAAAATAGTGAGCATAATGATCATGCTAAATACTGTATACTTAGGTTAAGGAACAATACTGTTAATTTAAAAGAAAATGAAAAATGTAAATAAAAAAATAATAAAATAATGTAATTTAAAAGAAAAAATATATCAAAAAACACATTTTAGTGATCATTCTGTTATTTTTAAATTGAAAATGAAAGTAGATCTATGCCATGCATATAAAATCAACTGAGACGAAATTGTCAAAAAAGAAATAGGGTACCTGCCATCACTGACATCACTGACCTTGGTCTGAAAATGTTAGTTACCTGACTATCTCTGGTACCAATGCATCATGAGTCACAGATCTGGAACAAGTGGAGTCAGAAGTCCTAAAGTGCATACTTGTTACAGGTCAGTAACTCAAAATACATTAAAACCAGAAAGTCACAGTAACAGGCAACAGGTATTTTCAGTGGGAGATCAGCAACGGTATTGTCTGTATTTCAGTCATTACAGGTTTCATTTAACCTCATTACCCCCTGTAGCTTCTAAGAAAAAGGCCAAGAGAGATCCCAAATATGGCCCACAAAGACCCATTTCTACTTGAATCCCTCCAGTAGTGGGTCACAGGACCAATTGCTGGTAGTCAGTGGTTCTGCCTGAAGAATGACCTCTGCAGCAACCATCTGACCAATGCCTCAGTATTGGTCGTGTGACCTGTCAAGGTAAGGGTGAAGGATTCAAGAAGCAAAATATGTGGGATATGTTGTGAGTTTTTAACCTTCCCTATGCTACTCAAAACCATAACATTTTTGGGTGGAGTTGCACTTTAATATTTATTTATTCATAAAGGAAAACACACATAGCATAAAGCACCTTTTTCGAAAAGGATATGAATGTATCAAAATTTTAATAGCTATTTTCCTAAATGGGTTAAAAGGACTTAAAATATACATGGCAGGTGTGGCACTAAATCTGAAGATTGTTTTTCCTTTGTTTAATACTATAAAGGTCTGCAGATAAAAAAAAGAAAGAAAGACATAGGTTAGGAAATGACATCAAAAGGGAATTTAGTTTTCATTTTCGCAGCTTGCATTCAATTAGTACAAAAAGTCCCATAATTCCAGTAATTAGTTACAGAACATAAAAAGAGCAAAATGGCCCAACAACCTTTTTCGTATTACCCAGTTATCTAAAATATTCTCCAAAACAAATTCTACATATTGCTCATTACTATACAATATACAGTATGCAGTATATCATGCATTATTGCCATCTAACTACATGCACAAGAATTTTATATTTACCCTTACTCTCAACTCTCCTGTTTATAAGAAAAGGAGAATATCGAATCAAAATAGGGCATATGATGTCTCCTCACATATGCCTTTGGGTGGATCAGCATGCCTCTGAACTGAAGTGTATCTTAACCCAAATACCTAAACCAAATACAGTGTGCTGTTACACATGTTCCTGTAAAGTCAAAAAAATAGTCCTATTAAATCATACCCCAGAAAGGTGTATCCATAGACACTTCCTTTCCTAGGGAGACGATACTTGTTTTAGTTCAGCAACTAAACTCATAAGAGGCATGAAGGAGCTCAGCTATGAGGAAAGATTAGCTGAACTGAATTTGTTCTCTCTGGAGTAAAGGCGATAAAGGGGGAACATGATCACCATGTATAAATAGATAAATGGTCCATATAGTGAGCTTGGTGCCAAATTATTCACTTTAAGGTCACTGCAAAGGACAAGGGCGCACTCTTTGCGCCTGGAGGAATAGAGGTTTAACCTTTACATACGGAAAGGCTTCTTCCCAGTTAGAGCTGTGAAAATGTGGAATAGACTTCTGCATGTGCTAGTTCTAGCTAGCTCAGTTAACTGTTTAAAAAAAAAATCTATCTGGATGTATTCCTAAATGCACAGAGTATTACTAGATATTGACTTCTTATAAGTAAAATAAGTACCAGAGATTGTTGTTTTAGGGAATATCCGATTGCCTTATGGGGTTTTATGAACTCGATTGACTTGTGTCTTTTTTTTTCCAACCTGACTATGTAGCTGCAGCGTTGTCCCCCTTTTCTGTGCACTCCTGATGGAAAATGCAGACAAGAAGTTCCAACAAGGAGTGTACAAATTCTTTTGTGAGAGTTTAGTTCTACTGTAAGCAAATTCAACTAAAAACTGTACACTGGGATACACAAATTTTGATACAAGTTATAGAACTTTGAGGTGACCTCTGTTATCCTTTAAAAAAAAATACATTGGAAGGTGCATTCAAGCTTTTTTAAAAAGACATATATTCAGCCTGTTATGGGTTTTGTTTTTACTGATATTCTGACATTTATGAATATGGGCTTAAAGAAGATCTATAGGCAGAACTGCATTATTTATAATAAACATACAGACCCCAATTTACTAAAGGAATTAAGCATGTATACTCTGATCAAAAATACAGGTTACATGGTCCTTGTGTGTTTTGTAAGGTAGCCACCGCTCCAAGCTCACTCCTGTGTTGGACTACAATCTCATGTTTAGTTAGCTAATTTGTATTGAGATTGTAGTCCATCACAGGAGCGAGCTTGGAGCGGTGGCGACCTTACAAAACACACAGGGAACATGGGGAACAAAAGTAGCCCCCCTCCAGAAGGAAGGACAGTGTCATCATGAATTCAGAGATTATTATTATTATTATTATTATTATAATACAGGATTTATATAGCGCCAACAGTTTGTGCAGCGCTTTACAATATAAGGAAGATATTACAATACAATTCAAGACAAGATGGTAAGGAGGGCCCTGCCCCTGAGGGCTTGCAATCTAAAAGGGAGGGTCAAGTGATACATGAGGAGGTAGCTGTGTGGGGATGAATTGTTTGAGAACGTGATGGTTGAGTGGTTAGTTTGAGGTGGGATAGGCTTCCATGAAGAGATGGGTCTTAAGGGAACGCCTAAAGGCAGCCAAGGTGGGAGATAGACGGACAGGTTGGGGGTAAAGAGTTCCAGAGCATGGGAGAGACTTTAGAGATGTCCTGGAGGCGAGTATGGGAGGAGCTGACAATGGAGCTGGAAAGCAGGAGATGATGAGGATCTACAGCTGAGTGATACACAAATAATATACAGTATTGTTACTAGTTAAGGTACTTGAATGCATTTTTAAGATTTATCTCATGAGTTTAGTGCCACTTTAAATTGGTAAATATGGGGAAGATTCACTTTGAATCACAAAGAGTACCCCAATCACATGCAAGAGAAATTTAAAAACCAGTATTTTTGATCAGAGTAAATTTCCTTTGCAAAGTGAACATGGTCAATTCCTTTCCCTGTAGTAGAGCTTAAAGAAGAACTCCAGGAAAAAAAACTATTTAAAATGTACTAACTTAGAAGGCGTAAAGTGAAAAGAGGTGTATGCCACATCCCACCTCTCTCTGGTTTACAATTTACTGGTTCATTAAGCTGCTGGTAGTATAGCTTTCACTATACACTGGTGCTCCTCTGATAAGAGAGCTAGGGAAGAGAGCTAGGGGCTCTCTAACACAGCAGCCACACTGCCTGTCCCTCCTCCCCTCTGTCTTACATTAACAGAATGTTTGCATTTTATGAATGGTTTCAGACATTGCTCCGATTTCTCTGGCTGCATGTATGATTTAGGTCAATGATTCCAGAAATTTCAGACATCACTCCAATTTCTTTGGCTGCATGCATGTTTTAGGTCAATGATTCCAGAAGTAGTCAACAACTGCACCCATGATATTACATTCCTTTAAAAAAAACAACAACACAGTCACAGCACAGAGCACACTGGGTTGCAGGTGTACAGACCTAGGAACTCAAGAACATATGTCTCGACACCATATGTCTCTTAAATAATAAAACCCCAGAATGGGTTCACTCTCCAGCATCCACCAAAAGCAGATGGACAGACCCATTAAAGTGACACTAAATGTAGGAGTTAAAGCCTAAAAATTAATTTAGGTATCTTAACAATACTGTCCATTTGTTCATAACAGGAGTGAGCTTGGAGTGGTGGCTACTCTACAGCACACACAAGCACCATGGGGAACAAAAGTAGCCACCCTCCAGAAGGAAGGACAGTGTTAGCACCAATTCAGAGATGGTTTGAGGATCTACAGCTGAGTCATACACAAATAAGATACATTTTTATTAATAGGGTACTTGAATTCCTTTTTAAGATTTTACTCCTGAGTTTGGTGTCACTTTAAAGTGCTTTCTTCTATCTGCACACAACACTTCCCATCACAAATGACATCAACATTTAATAATTTAGCTGTACGCTGTCACCCCTGCCTGTGTATTGAATGGATAGTTCAAGCAAAATGAGGTATATAAGAAATACAGCATTTTTTTCAAACACACATGTAGCATCTCAGATGAAGTTTTCAATCACTCAGCCTAAACTCTAAGGACTGATCCTTGCTTGGATTCAGATGACACTACTGCCTGCTGTCAGCCCTGACTACTGCTAACTCAGCATCCAGCCAGTCACTAGTGCTGGTCACTCCTGCATACTGCACCAGTCTTTGACCATCTTAAAGACATCTGACCAGGTATGTGTACTCTCTCTCTCTCTCGGGTTGCTGGGGAGTGTCCTGGTTCTGCAAATATAGCGTAGTGCCTGACATTCTGGGGGGCAGCCAAGCATCAGTAAGCCTACTTGCCTTACAGGAAAGGCAGCGACTAAAAGGTAAAACCATGCCCGAGCATCATTATCATCACAGACCAGGAGAAGAACTGGTAAACCTTACACATACACTTAAAGTGACATTAAACCCTCAGATTTTTTAACATAAACCAATACTGTAATGTGTGCCTTACTGTAATCCATGGCTGTTTCCCTTTTAAATCCTCATGTCTTCTCATGCTTGGTGAGAACTTCCCTTTTCAGCTCAGGGCCTCTTCCTGTAGTGCTGGCTCAGGTTACAAGCCTATACAAACCTATACACAGACACTGTGTATCCATTCCTGAGACAAGGCAGTCTGCTGCAAAACAGAAGTTCTGCCCAGCATGACAAGAGATACAGATTTAAAAGGAAGAGCAGCAAAGAGAAGGGAAACAACCATGGATTACAGTAAGGCACACATTACAGTATTGTTTTATGTTAAAAAATCTGAGGGTTTAATGTCACTTTAAGTTAGTCGCACTGAGGCGATTAATAGGGTACCAGTGGGAAGTTTTCAATTGTCAGGGTGCCTTCAATGGCTGAGCTTTAGCCAACTGATATAAATGAGACAATGTTCAGATTTGCAACTGGAGCTTTTACTGCTATCAGTGAAAATGATTAAAAGTTAGTGCTGGTCTTAGTCAGGCCAATGGTAAACAATAAGCCATTTATGCATTAAAGGACCATAGCCTGAACATAGTCCCTTAAGACTAATATACAGAGACTTATGTCAGAATTTTAGGTTTGCCTTCTTTGGCCCAACATTTCATATTTACCTTGGAATCACACTTTTTATTAAGCTAGACCTGGTGCTTGATATGGTGCTGTTAAAAGGGCAATTTTAGCTGCAAGATAGGATGATTTATCACTATAAGAAAATAAAATGTCATACATACATACATACATACATACATACAGTTTTATACTTGCACAATACAAATGTTTACAGCTCTTTACTCGACTGATTATAAAGTTTAGTACTCTTTTTTTGTTATTATTTTAACCAAGAGAACTGAAAAATGATGTGCAGTACTCCTTTTTGAAATTATTCCAATCTGCAAACTGTGCATCTCTGTTTCCTGTAAGGTTTAAAGGAAAAGTCAACAAAGCAGAAAGCAAGATCAATAACATTTTTGCTGGCATGATAACCCGTCCAGAAGAAAGACTTCAGCAGGTCCCTAACGTACACATCTGAAATGCATTGCCTTAAAATCTCTGCTAGACTGCAAGCACTCCTGCAAAACTGAATCCCAATGGGATAACAATACTGATCATTCTCATCCCAAGGAATGACCAAACAGATACTTGTGAGAAATACGCCTACAGTAGGC